TGTCTTTCCCTCCCTGCTTATCTGCCTCATCCTTGCCGTACAAATATTATCTGTTTCTTTAAATCACATTTAACTAAGGATTTTCTTTTTCTGCCTTTGTCTTGTGTCAGTAGCAGGTTAATCCTGAATTTCTAGTAAATGCAAATGGATTCAAGAAAATCATGAGTTCAGGATTATTTTAATTTCCTGGGCATAATTGTTAATATCTCCATTGTCCCCTGGGATGTGTAGGATGATATCAATTAAATTGGTCTCTGTAACTGAACACTTTAGCCATAAATGTGACTATTGTGTCTTCACGAGCGCCTGTTAGGTGTTTAATTTACTTGCCCATAATAGATCGTCAGAGCTGTAAATGTGAAGCAAGCAATGTAAACGGCATAATGACTGTAATTATCCAAACAGATCGAAGGCAGTGTTATTGCAACCTGATACTGTGGATAGGAGCACGATACAGACATCCCATATAAAGTCCCATTTTCAGCTTTATTTCCTCACCCATTTTTTCCCAAGATGTTTAAAGTGAAAACAATGTAAACCGGCATTGCCATTCTCTTCTTTATCTCTTCCCATTACCCTCTTGCCATTGCCTCACTCAAACCAGCAGACTTTGCAAAAGCAAAGAAACATTTCTCCTAAGAAAAGTTTCCTAGAATCAGAATTCCGGTAGTTCCTCCCCCTATATCATGGCATTTGAAAATTTGAACTGGAAGTCACTTTGTAGATTGGCAAGGTTGTTCCCTTAGGGCTATTAGGTAAAGACCTGTAAGCCCAGCAAGGTTGCAAAACCTGCTGAAGGTTACACAGCCCGGTACTGCCAGGTAAATGGCAGTGGAACGAAACTGGCACGTGGACCCAGCCCTCCCACCCGGGTGAGGAGAGTAGAGGTTCTACCCGCTGCGGTCCAGAGCAGCTGCGCTGTGACAGCCTGAGCGATCCCCGGAAGGCACAGCCAGGAGCCAGACCCAACTCCCCGTCTGGTTTGGGTGGGGCGTGAGGAGGAGAAGCAGTTTGTGCATGACCAACGTTTTCAAAGTTCAAACAGAGGGTCAATGTGAGGGTCTAAGGGTCGGCTGTGTGGCAGATATCTGTCCATGAGGGGAATGGAAAAATATGGCAAAGTCTCGTCGCAGGGACAGAAAGTTGGGGGTGTAGCTGAAACAGGGATTGGAGCCCAGAGGGACAAGGAGGAAGCCAAGATTAGGACTGAAACCTGGAGAAGAAACAGCTTTGAATCCCGGGCCTCAAGCTATGAGTAAGATCCGGAGGACCTAGGGCAAGGGCACCTGCAAACAGATCTTCCCTCAGCACGCTGCCTCAACTCTTCACTCCAGTCTCATTGCCGAGGAACAAACTGGCCTAAGTCTGAAACTTACAGTACATCTGAAAAAAACAAAATCAAAAACCCAAAACACACACATTCAAGTCATCAGAAACACACACACACACAAAAAAAGCACGTAACTCAGTCTTCTGCATTACCAGAAAACAGAACGATATGACTTCAAATTCTTGTAAGAGAAAAGATGAATACCGAGTTCCCACAGAACTGTCTGTAGTGTGTGTGTCGGAGGATGGCAGCAGAGGGTGTGGGGAAAGCACTCCCAGAGGGGAAGGTCCCAGGGCACAAGCTCAGTACTGACCACAGGTGCAGACGGCTGGCTCTCCAGGAGGCTCTGGGCAGGGCGGACTGGTGTGAGGCCTGAGGTAGCTGTCAGCCAGGCCATGCTCTGGAGAGAAGGAAGCAAAGAAGGAAAGGGGAGGTAGGGAAGGTGCCATTGGGAAATGTGTTTGTGATGAAAAAGGAAGAGGGGAAATTTTATGATGGAATAGAAATAAATAGAAGTGTAACACCAGCCTCCCCAATCATCATCCATTAAGGAGGCTAAAACAAGGGCAAGAGTGTAAGAATAATATGTGACTGTAATACCCAACAAAGTAGAAAGAATGCAAGTAGGAAGTGGGTGGAAAGGGAGTGAGAGGGAAAGGGACTGAAGCATATGTAATGGGGGGAGTTAAGGGACTTGACTTTAACTCGGTAGTCATAACTCAAATAAGACAACAGGAGGAGTAAAGAACCTAAAGAGTATGTGGCTGCCAATGGGGCTGTGGGAGGGGTACCTCACGGAGTGTACCTTTCAGCGTGGTTTTGACTTTTGCAATCATGTTAATGCTTTCCATGATCAAAAACAAAAATACAGCCAACAAGAAGAGGAGAGATTAGATTTGAATACAATCAGAAAAATATAAGAGAACTGAATGTCAAATACTAGTAAATAGCATAACCACACTAATGTTGGGGGAACCAGTGTAGTAATTGTTGAACACATTATTTTTACTTTCATTCTAAAAAAAAAAAGTGAATTATTTCTAATACTGTCTTTTGTGGTTAAAAATTGTGTGTGCATTGTAGGATTGAAGAACTGAGTATGATCTTGCAAGACCATGTTCTAGAAAAAAGAACATAAAAGTAGGAAAATAGGAAAAGGAAGAATTGTTTGTTCTGGGGCTGAGATGTGTGTGTGTGTGTGTGTGTGTGTGTGTGTGTGTGTGTGTGTGTGTGAAGAAAGCAATGACTCCTCTGTAGCAACTGACATGTATTAACACCAGGTCTTAGTTTCCAAGTGGCACTCACCGAGGAAGCAGGATTCCTTGAGGAAATGGTCCATTTCAGGGATGGAGCAAGGAAAACGCAAATGCACCTGAAACATTCTCATGTGGCAAAAAAAAAAAAAAAGGAAGAGACTGTCTTTTAACTGATGAAACAGGTCAAAAGGACACAGCATGATGGGTTTCATCTGCCCAAAGGGGGGAAATGTGATCATCCAAATAAATACTGACAGTTATAATTTCTGACCCTTTCAATAATATAAGAATCCAACTACTCATCCTAATAAATAGTTAGGAAAAGCATTTTCTTTAGATTAATTGAAAACTAAAAAATGTAGGTAGAGAAATGATAGAAACCATCATTTACAAAGTTATCACTGATTCAGGGAAGACTCATTGCTAAACTCAGGTGATGATGAATGTTTGATAAGGACTAAGCTCTTTTCATCATTGCTAAGTCCCTCCCCATGGTTTACTTATTAATTGTAAAGGAAAAGAGAGTAACTTCGCAGTGGAGATATTTGGCAGATCCCACCTTAATCTAGTGATCAAAGTTAACTCGTCCAATGAGAGGACGCGTAAATATCACATGTATCCATGATGCACTGAGAAGGACCCAGCATCATCTGTGCTACCCCTGCCAGTTGTGCATGAGGAAAGCTGAAACAGATCCAAATTAGGAACACTCCAGAAAATAACTGGCCTCTACTTTGAAAACAAAAAAAAGAAGAAGAAGGAGGAGGAGGAGGAGGAGGAGGAGGAGGAGGAGGAGGAGGAGGAGGAGGAGGAGAAGGAGGGAGGGAGGGAGAGAAAAAGAAAGAGAGGGAGGGAAAGAGGAAATGAGAAAGGGAGAGAGGGAAGAAAGGAGGAAAAGAAGGAAAGGGTGAGTCAGCAGCATGAAAGACAGGAACTATTTCAGAATTAAAGGATTCTGGATGGATGACAAATAGATGCAATGCATGATCCTGCATTGGACTCTGAACTGGAAGAAATGTGCTATAATGACATTATTGGGACAGAGGATGAAATTGGAATAAGGATTAGATTAGATTGTGGCACTGTATTAATGTTATGCTTCCTGACATGAAAACTGAATTGTGTTGTGTAAGAGAATGTCTTTGTTGTTAGAAAATACATTGAAGTAATTAAGGCAATAGAGCATCATGTTTGCAACTTGCAAGTTGCAGTGGGGGAAAAAACAAAAAAGAATGATATAGAAAAATGTTAACAATTGGTGCATCTGAGGAAAGAGCAGCAGTTCATACTATTCTTGCAAATCATCTGTAAGTGTGAAATTATTTCCAAATATATTTTTAAAAATAATTGGTAGGAAAAAGCTATAAAGGAGTACATGTTGGTCTATGTACCACCTAAACATTATACCATAATTTTGGAAATAATTATTTCAGAGCTTCCTACTCCCCTCCCCTGTCAGGGAGATTGTGGGGAAGGGACTGATGGGGCCATGATTGCTAGGGAAGTGGGGTGGGTGGGTGGTCATGGTCTCAGCCATGAGGAGGAGTAACTTGTACAGTTTGAGTGTCAGGCTGGGCCAACAGTGGTAGAAGTGGACCCAGGCCACAGGATGCAGAGGGCAGTTCTTACGCCACCATGGCATAACCCCCCTGCCATCTAACATGCATATTCTGATTGATTTCCCCCTTATTATTCCACATTATAATGAGTGACCATATTTCACCTAGTACCCTAGAGCAAGCATGTCAAACTCTCGGCCCTTGGACTACAGGCCTCATTTATTCGGCACATGCTAGCCTTTGAGTTTGACACGGTTGGTACAGTAATCGATATAGCATTCAGATACACACATGGCTCCGAGGGTCAGAAAAGCAGTTAATTCTAAAATGAGAGTCAGGGAGAAGGACGCTTAAGCATAATCCAATTCTTAAATTTCTCATTGTGTTCTTAAGTTCAAAAGGCATTGATTAAAGGGAAAAGCGTGTTTACTTTGCATTCAGAATCGCACTTGGTGAGTTCACCTGAGATTCTTCTCTATGGTCCAGACACATGTTGGGTCATGCAGCTGCGGCAGGTACTAAAGAAGTGGATTAAGACATTTCTGACATTTACAGTTTCATAGGATGAAATGAACATTGTAATCTTTCTATAAAATGCTCTCCCATCAGGCCCTCTCCCATGCAGGGTTCTACACATTCATTCTTCAGGTGGGGGTGTATTGTGGTGACGCACGAGGCTAAGACAGAAGTCAGCCCTGAGATGTTAGCAATGGTACTCGGAGCATACTCATCAGAGGCTCTCCTCAAAGGTTGCTGGGATCCTGAGGAGGTCTGCGGAGCGGCTGTATTGATTGGGTTGTCAGGTAATACAACGCTTCATTGATCCATTTGTATTATTTTTGTTTCTTGCTGCAGGCAGAGAATTCAGCATTGGCTTTGGAAAATGAGAATCAAAGGGAGCAGTATGAGCGATGCCTCGATGAGGTAAGTGGGAGGGAGAGCTCCGTGATGAGGGGCCGTGCCGTTTAGAATTTCCTTCGTGAGATCCTAATGCATGTCCATCGCGGCCTCCGTAGGACGGGGGCATTTTGTCCTCCGAAGGAAGGTTGTGAGCATGCATAGTGAGAAGGAAGCTCAGTCACTCTCTTCCCATTCCCCTGCCTTCCCTCCTCTCCCTGTTCCACTGTACAGGCATCTGTGAATTCCCTCCGTTATCGTTCACCATTCTTGGGTGTGCAGCTGTAGGATGAATTCTTCAGTCCAGCAAATAGGAGCCCAGCCTGCATTCAGTTCAGATGGGTTGCCATTTCTGGAAACGTTAAGCCCCACAGGCTGGGCAGGCCAATGCGCAGAGTTATCAGCCAGAGTGAAAGTGTCAGCATAACTGAGAACACGCCCGGAGAGAAAGGGACACGAAGGAGAACACTTGAGCGGAAGGGAAGGAGACAGGCCCATGATTGAGTAAACTTGAGAAACGTTATTTGATGGTGGAAAGCAGAGGTGGCGGGCATTTCAGGAGAGGGCCTGATGGGAGAGCATTTTATAGAAAGATTACAATGTTCATTTCATCCTATGAAACTGTAAATGTCAGGGGGGCGGGGGAATTGAAGTTGTGGGCTGGGCTTCATTCTCTCACACACCCCTGTCCTGTCAGGGAGTCTGCTCCTACGGAACCTCCAGTGGGACTGGCCAAGCTCTCATCTGAGATTTGTTGGTGATCAGAGTTATTCATCTAATGCAGTGGTCGGCAAACTCATTAGTCAACAGAGCCAAAATATCAACAGTGCAACAATTGAAATTTCTTTTGAGAGCCAAATTTTGTAAACTTAAACTGTATAGGTAGGTACATTGTTATTAAGTTAATTGGGGTACTCCTAAGCTGGCCTTTGCTAAAAACATCCTCAATCTGATTGAGGTACACTCAAGGGGCCAAAGAGCCACATATGGCTCATGAGTCGCTGTTTGCCAACCACTGATCTAGTGGGATGACGTTCCTAGTTGTCTGCCCAGTGTTGTAAACTTGCACATGTTTGACAGTTGTTATGCTAGAGCTGACACAGATGTTAAGAAAAGAAGAAAACTCCGTTTCACTGGGCTCCATGACCATACCCATGGAAATGCTACCATATCTTGTCTTTTCTTCCTCACTAAGAATTGGCTAACCTTTTCCAACAAACTTCTCTTGATCTCTCTTCCCCCTGTCCTCCCCCAGACAGCATCCCCACGCCCAGTGTCCCATCAGGCGATGGGTGTACTGTAAAAAGCACAGGCTCAACCCCCAGTTCTGAGGTCATCACTACTGTACCCCAATCTCCTCCCCTCACACCTGCAGCACCCCCTCCTCAGAGCCCCGTGTGCTGGCGTTTCCCGCCCCAGTGACTCCTGAAGGCTCACCCTGGACCACCAGCAGCAGCCTCACTTGGGAACTTAGCCATGCACCTTTTCAGGCCCCACCCAGGCCTGTGGGATCAGATATGAGGGGCCTGGCAGGTGATCTGTGTCAGCAAGCCCCCAGGTGGCAAGGATGCACCCCACAGCCTGAGGGCCATCCTCAGAGCTCAGCCACTGGCATTACATTTACTCTATGTGGTTCAGGGATCTCAAAAGGTCCCCAGGAGAAATCCAATTAGCATTTAATATTTTTTAATGTCTTTATTGATTAAGGTATCACATATTTGTCCTCAAACCCCCATTCCAATTCCCAGCCCTCCCCACTCATGCCCCCACCCCCCAGCATTTAATATTTTAATTGTTTGATATGTACAGCTCAAAATGGTGTCTGCATTTCTCTGTCCTGTCAGGACTTAAAAAGGCTCAGCAATCTCTACAACGTCCAAAGGTAAAGTTGGCATAAAAGGGAAAATGACAGCTCAGAGTCCCGTGAGACCAGCTGGGCACCACTCACCCCTGTTCCCCAGGTTTAGGGATAAAAAGGTCAAATAGATCCAAGGATGTTTAAAGGGACAGCATTGTCCTTGGGTCGCATGTATTGAATAGCCAAGCTTTACTTTAACCTCCTGCACAGAAACTTCCAAGGAGACCTAATCTGTATTCAGAAATCAAATTCATGTGAATAACACCACAGTCACGTCTTATTTGTCACAAGTCCCCTGGAAGTTACCCCTCACCAGCAACCCAAAAGCGCGCAGTGTTGCTTTAAGGAAACCTGTGTTCTGTTTTCCTTGTGTTCCTGGTGCGTGCATTCTCAAGGTTTCATCGGAACGTTTTGGTAAAACATACGTTTCCACCCACAGAATCATTTCACAGAAAGTTTTCACAGAAGACAGGATTTTCTAGAGGGAGTGCTCCTCTGTTCTTAATTGCAAACATTAGCTGTTGCCAAGGAGGTGATTTGCAACAAAGAAGCACCTTTGAGCAATACAAATGTTTTGTACTCGTGAATGCGGGCCCCTGATTACACATGTCAGTTGTTTTGTAACTAATTGCATGAAGGTAGGCAGCCCGTTCGCACGCATTGTAAGAGAACACTCTCAGAGGGATACTTGGATATAGTAATAATGCCAACTGGAAATTCTTTTCAAGGCTGTTTATCCTAATTAGACAAACTAACAAGGTAAGGTCTCCTATAAGTTATTTTCTTTCTAGTAGGTTTCAGAAAACATGCACAGATGGATATAACATAAATCTGAAATGTTCTTCAATCCATTTTGCACTACTTGTTAGTTTCTGGGAAATGAAGGCTGTATTGAGGACCTGGGGAGAATACTTAAGAGTCAGAAATCCCTTCTGTGTGTCCTAATGAATGGGTGTGCTTATTCAGAAGAAAACAGACCCACACCCCTGGACACACACACACACACACACACACACACACACACACATATTCACAGGCTTGCAAGGCAGGCACGTGCTCACAGGTTCTCACACCAGTGCAGGCACATGCTTTACCACTTCACCATCATCTCTGCTGCTACCTGGCTCCTCAGCTCCTTGCCTTGCAACACAAAGGCAAAAAGGCAAAGCCCAGGGCTGACCTTGAACTTTCCCTGGGGGATCAGGTGGTAATGTCTGAATCTGAGGTCTTCATCTAGCTGTGTGACAGACAGGTTTACAGGCAAGCAGTGAATTGCTGTTTGTTCTCAGTATTGCTTTGACCAATTCCTTTAAGGCCAACTCCTTCCCACGTAGAGAAGTGTAATGGCACATAAAAAAATAAGTAAGATAGCACCTCCTCAAGCCGCTGCCTTGCATTTACTAGATGGATTAACGTGTGTCCTAAGATATTTACTGGAAGTCAACCTCCCCCAACCCTAGGGAGCCTCCAGCCTAGCAGAAATGAGGGGGTGGTTAGTCACAGGAATGAAGTGAGCGGAGCTGATGGGGGAAATGGGGTGCCCTGGGGACTGAGAGAGCACACAGCACAGTCACCAGGGGGCAGGAGGAGTGGTGGGCGGAGCAGGGCGGGGCAGGGAGGAATTGAAAGGGATCTTAGCAAAAGAAGCTGGAGCAGGTGACACTTGGGATCTAGAAGGGCATGTGGTTCTGATTCTGACCTGCTCATTGGACTTACCTGGGAGCTTTAAAAATACTCCTGCTGCCTGGGCCCCACCTCAGAGATGACCTGATTGTGGATGGAGTGCCCCCACTAGGCATTAAAGTTTTTATAGTGTGTGGGGGGTGGGGGTGAGGGGTAAAATGTTCAATTAGGAACCACATCCTCATGCTGTGCCTTAGGGAGCATTTTTAGAAAGTTGCCATGATGCAAGCTTCACTAAACTTGGATGTGATGGAAGAACAGCAGACACATGTGGAAATGGGATATTTCCAATTCCCCAACAGTAAGCAGATGCAAAGCCTATCTCAGTGCTTCCCAGTGTGTCTGGGCCTTTCCCTGTCAGGAAGAGGTGCAGCAATGGCTGCAAATGCAGGTCCTCAGACCCCACCCGGCCCTTCCAAGCAGAAGGAGGGCTGAGGGCGTTGGCAATGTCAACACCTGTCCCAGGCGAGGCTTTTGCACACAGATGCTGGAGGACTTGCCTCCTTCAGATCGTGGAGTTGGCCAGGCTTCCGTTCCCTCGTGGAGGGTGCTATCATGGAGCTCTTCCCGGCTTCCGGATGCCTGCACTGCAGAGCACAGGACAGGGAACTGAGGCTTTTGAATGCAGTTCAGACAAAAAAGTGCCAGTGCTCGTTTTAAACCCAGGCTAGATAAGGCAGAGGGGGGTTGTGAAGAGTAGCTTTTCCTCTAGTGCCTGTTCTGTACCCCAAGACCTGGATGTGGACTCACTAGCAGCACACTCTGGTGGCCTATCCCACATCCGGGCCCTATGTCATCCTTAACATCAGTGTCTGGATGGATGTGGGGGAAGATGGTCCTGCTGTGGCCCCTGCCTGGGTCAGATGCTCACTTTAGGAAAGGATTGTGACATCGACAGAAATCTGCCTCCTGTGCCTGCCCCAAGCCCCAGACACACGGGGCAGCACCTAGGCCCTAGTCCCCATCGTTTCTCCAAGGCCCAGCACCACTCTTGGCTCAGATTTGGTACTTTATGCACGGTCATTGAATGACTAAACAAGTGAATGGAAATGAATTTCCACGTTAGTTTTCTCTGGAACACCACATATATGTTTAAAAGAGCTTTTCCTACTCCCGGTATTTTACAAGATTTTTTAACAGGGTAAATAAATAATATAGGTGCTTACTAATTTATATTTATACATTCGTAGTATACACATACACACACGTCATCCCTTTCTAAATAAAACCTTTTATTCTTTTTAACTAATGAGCTGAGATTGCATTTTATTCTCTAAAGTTTGAGTGACTTCGTGCAGATTTCACATTTATGGGGCGACTACTTTATATCAGGAACTGTCGGAGGGGTTTCCCTGGCTATGTCCATCACTCCTTGTATTTCTCACAGTGTAGGTAGGGGCCATCCTTCCCTCCCTGTACATGTCCTGTCAGTAGATCTTCAACATCAGCAAGGGCAGTACTTAAATCCGAAGCATTCCTGTGATGGCCCGTAGCTCCTCAGGACAGTAGGTCAAGCTCAAAAGCATAGGCACCTTCTCCAAAGCACGTTTTCCAGAGCTTGTGCTTTTTCACCCCATTACTGAATCAGCTCACTGACCTGGCCCTGGCCTGGCATGATACACTGGCAGGTGCAAAAAGAGGAGAGTACTGCCAAAGCCCCCCCCCCCACACACACACACACACAACTCCCCCACCCCAACCTCTTCCCAGACCCCAGCCCTGGGCCATCTTCCTGAAGTGCTGAGAATGGTTCCTTCTCATTCAGCCTCGGGAACAGCTTTGCAATGAAATAATAACTCCACAGCCCTGCCCCCTCCTCCCTCTGCCCACCGCTTGCAGGTGAATGCTGGGGGGAATCCTGGCCCCTGGGAGCAGCAAGGTGGAGGAGCAGCAACCTGACCTGTGTGTACAAAGCTGGTGTCAGGGGAGCTGGCCTGTCTGAGATCTCACTGAGGATGGGAGAGGCAGACCGGGGGCCTCTCCTTGGCATCCCTGTCTCGCCCACAGCCTTGCTCAGCTCCCAGAGCAAGGCAAGGTGCCACCCACAGACAGCCTGAGGGAGGTTGTAAAACAGTCCAGGGGCCTGGGAACTGTCAGCTTTGCTCAGTGCCTCTCAGATCCCCCTGGGCCAGCCCAGCCCTGCTCTTCCTCTCTTTGTAGAAGAAAGCTGTCAGGTGACACTGAACGTTGTTTGTTCTCATTAGCTGAGCCTGAGGGTGTGTGATTGTTTGCAACCCAAGCTCTGAAAGTGTAATGCCATGATGGGGATGGTCATCCCAGGGATCATCTTGTGACCTATCAGAGGGCTCAGGCTCCAGACCAGGCTTCTGCTGATGCATCAGGGAAGCTATGCAGGTACAAGCGGTACCCAAACCCAGGTGCTGTCTTCATAGACAACAGCCAGGAAAGCACTGTACCACCTGCCCACTCTTCCGCAAAGAACCTGGAAGTCCTTCTGGGTAATAAAACCCCATGTCAGTAGGTAAAGAAAGAATGCACTCATGTATGTCTGTTCAATTTTCAGGTAGAACAATTGTCCAACGTACAGGCCAGGAGGAACTGTGCCAGAGAGAGTCTGTTGAGCCTGTAGGGCAACACTCTTGATTGCAAAGACAATGGGTTTACCGCTGTGGGCTGGTGCAGTGTGGACATTCATTTCTGTCTCCTGGTAAATCGTGTGGAGAGCTGCTGTACATGGCTACTCTTCCACAGACTGGTTTAAGTGAGGGACCAGTTGACAGAAGAAAAGAAAATATTGGTATCGGGCAGTTTTATGAGAATGTAAATCACATCCAAAGTTTGAGATCCAAAAGAATTAAATTATTGATGGTATGAATTAACTTTGGTACATTGTTCCCGCTTCAAGCACGTGACTATTTCAATTCTTCAGTGTGTTTTATTTGCCAAGAATAAAGATGATGATATAACGTTTGACTTTAACTTCTCAGTTACTTACAAATTGGAATGGATCTTTAAAAATTGAAAGATTTTCAAGATTATGCTGTTGGTCAATTTATGTGAGCTAACTAGCATTTATCACCATTGTGATCACGTAGAAATGAAATGATAAAAGAAAAAGAAAAGGTATCCGTTAAGGAAAATATAGTTTACTCTGGTCTATTCTAGTTCTTGGGTATGCTTCTTTTACTTGGTCTAAAAGAAATACCTAAGAATGTGTTTTCTTCAAAACTGTAGTTTCAATAAAAGGCTTGTCCTTTTTACTTAATGTCAAAAACATAAATTTGGAAAGGATTCTGGTAGGGAAAAAATACCTCTCATGCACCCAATTCAAGGAGTCATTTATCCGTAATCTAGTCATGCACTGCTGTGGTGTGAATGCCTCCTAGCCACAAGCTGATGACAGCCTATATTTCAATATTCTATGAGACTTACTGGTGGCAAGCTGTTGTTAAGAATGTGCTGTTCTATCAATATTGAGTTAAGAAACAATTAAGCTCCCTGAAAACATTCTCCCCACAATCTGTCCCACTCTCCTAGATAGGAATACAAGCACACACAGTCCAGCATGGCCAAAAATAGATCTGTTACCAAGAGAAAATGATGGAACTGTAGGCCTTGTCTTTGGTTGAATGTGAGAAATACCAAGATGATTATATGCTTATCATACTCCAACGTAATTGTGTTCTTGCTGACTTCCTCCCAGCTATGCACCCTCTGAAACCAAGGCACACATCCCATTCATCCTGTTTTGCAGATTTATATTGAACAAATGAGGGATGACGAAAGGAATGAAGAGAAGTACCTGATACCTAGGATAGCTAAGTGTTCTGACTTGATCTTTAATGCTGTCAGGTTCAGTTATCATACTAAATGTTCATATAGTGGCTGAAAAATATCACATAATTTACCTGTCTACATTCATTTTATCAATAGAAACCATATTAGGTACAAAGCTTCAAGGTTAAGTGAAGTTTAGTAAGTGATTTTTGTGTGTGTATGAAATGCTTTTGAAATATGCAGGAGAAAAAAGAAATTTCAGTACAAATAGATGTAGAAATTTTGAGTGGTTATCTGGAGAAAAGACCAGATCCTTGAAATACCAGGGATGTTATTGGTTTTACATGTGGCCCTTTACCAGAATTGTGGCCACTTTTAAGCCAGTTACTATAAGGGAATGGGATTGCCAAATTGGCTTAGATTTATGGACACTCACCTTCTTGGACTGAGAGGAGCCCACCCAGTTTCACTCACTGTCCAAGCTGCCTGAACCTTGAGAAAATTGGAGTTCTGATAATATGAGAGGCTGGTGCACAAATTTGTGCACAGTGGGGTCCTTCAGCCTGGCCTACGGGATCGGGCTGAAATCAGCTCTCCAATGTCCCCCAAGGGTTCCCAGATTGCGATGAGGTTGCAGGCCAGTGCATGATCAGGGCCAGGGAGGGACCATTGGAGAGTTCCAGGGCATGTCTGGCCTGTCTTGCTCAGTTCCAATTGGCCAGACCCCAGCAGCATGCTAACCAAACAGTCAGAGTGTCTACATCCTGGTGGTCAGTGCTCATCATAGCAACTGGTCTATCTGCCTTGACTATCTGCCTCCTGGTGGTCATTGCATGTCATATTGAGGGACTGAGTGGCTTTAGCATATCATTAGCATATTGCGTTTTGATTGGTTGAATGGCCAACCTGTCGACCAGATACTTAGCATATTGGGCTTTTATTATATAGGAAGATTTGGTTTTACATTGGGAGTAGCTCAAAATAACAGAGGCTATTATATTTCCCTCTCAAATAAAAGTGGAGATAGCGCAGCTCCATGCATCATCAAGACCAGGTTTATTTTATTTTCCTGCCCCGCTGTATTTGATATGTGATTTCCATTGTCCGGGTAGCTGCTGAAGCTCCAGCCATCACTTTCCTATCCCAGACAGAAAAAAAGAGGAAGAAGGGTGAGCCTTCTTCTTCTTAGAGACTTTCTACTGGTATAAGCCCAGAAAAATGTTCTTCTTATAACTCCCTGGCCAGAAGCATGTCACAAAGTGACAGTTGCAAAGGGGGCTGGAAAATGTAGTTGATAAGTCCATTCAACAAATTAGGGCTTTTTAGTTAGGAAGAAGGGGAAATGGCTATATTAAAGTAAGCAACTACTAGACCATTACAGGTAGCAATGACGAAAGGGTGGCATAAGTGTGACATGGAGGAGGGAAGTCGGGTGTAAGGAAACAATGGGTTGTCCCTCTTCCCCACCATTCAGTCTGTCTCTACTGCAAGTACTTCTATGCAGTGAAATAGCCCCACAGCAAAGGAATAGAAAGGAGAGGCAAAGGACATTGTACATCAGCAAAGTGTAGAAACTGTGTACAGATAATTAGGATCGTGTTTTGTACTCGATCATTTTTTCAGCCTTCTTGCAGTACTTTACGTGTGAAAATATATTATTTTTTCCAAATATGGAAAGGTGAAAATCAAGGTATGAACGCTCTTTCCAGAATAACTGTCTTAATTAGCAACAAGGTCACCTTTGGAAAAAACAAACTATTACCTAGAAGGATAGGCTTATTATGAAAAGAATCAGTCTCCTGGAAGTAGAGGACAGAGGCAAATGAGGAGCTAATTAGCAACAGTAAGCTGTGGGAAACTTACTGCTAAATTAGAGTTCATGAGTGTAGCCTCGTGATTATACTGACAACTCTTTTCTTTATTTTTTAAAGGTAGCCAACCAAGTTGTTCAGGCTCTGCTCACTCAAAAGGTAGGTCACTTTCTGGCTTTCTTATTTTCAAAGTACCTATGTGAATAGGTGGGAACTTGTATTGTCAAACTGGGAAATTGTGATTGATAGAAGCAATGCTTTTCTATTTATTCGCTCAGGTTAAAATTGTGTGTGTATTAGAGGGTGTATGGAGTGACACCAATGAGGAACAGAATCATAACATTCAAGCTTTTGGTAAAGTAATAGGAAGCCTTTTGACGAGGAAGGATTCCCCAGGTTCCCAGATGAGTAGCAGGCCTATCATTTTCACTTAGTGAATGCAAACAGGGAACAAGCCGGTGTATCCCTCCAATTCCTGTAAAACAAACAGCCTCTGACAGACAGCATTAACAGAAGGCAGGCATTTAGCAGGAGATCTTTGAGGTTATAGAAACTATTTGGTTTCTCTGGGTCTCAGTTTCTCTTCTGTAAAATAGGAGTGGCAATACCTTCCTCCCAGAACCTGAGCTGTGGCTGTGGTCCCTCTATGAAAGGGAGCATGGAGAGCCGTTCCTGTAGTGGTGGAAATATGAAATAAATGATGGATTATTTTATTTGTCAGTGACCCCTTTATCAAGCTAGGGGGAAAACAAATGGTAATGTCTGTGCCTGTGTCTTTCCAGCCCCCTATTCTGCCCTCAGACAGTGTGACATAATGTTACTGGGTCAGAGTCGGTAAATACAGGTAATTGCCTAAAATTAGCTGGTGAATTTTATTGACCCTTTCCCATCTCTTTCCACAATGCTTTGCAGAGACTAAGTTCTAGGTCCTTCACCATTTCATTAATTCTATCACTTCTCTGTGAGGTGGAGACTTCCTCTAGAAAAGGAAATCTTAGATTAAATCCTATTCAGGAGGATGGGGCCAATGAGAGCAAAATACTTTATGGCATTTTGTTTTTCAGTTGAAAGTAATTGTATTAGGGGTTGACCATTTCTCACAGGCATACTTAAATAAATAGTATTTTAAATTTACATTGTAGAAGCATGATAATAGTTTTGTTAGACTTTCTCCCCCAAAATATCATGTTTCCTGCTACAAATGGTTTGAATGGCTTCAGGTTGTACATTAACATCACATAGTATAGTGGGATGTCAGTATACTTATGTAAAGTTAGAAATAGGTTTAATTTTGAATTACAGAGATCCCAAATAATAGTGGCTTAAATAAGCTACCATGTTATCTCTTTCTTGCTTCCAAATCCACAGTAGGCAGGACAGGGCTGTATGGTGACACTACTCCATGAAGTCCACAGGTCCCTGTTATCCTGCCTTCTGTCTTCTTATTCAGTGAGATATGGCCTCCATTCCCAAGGTCACTTCATGGGCCAAAATAGCTGCTCTGGCTCCAGTCATCACATCCACATTCCAGCCATCAGGAAGGAAGAAAAGCTGGGGGTGGGAAATGAAAAAGGGTAAAGGGCACACACCCACTGAAAAATACTTTAAGAAATACTTTCAAAAGCTTTCATATCTCCCTACTTACACCTCCTTGAACAGACCTTTGCCTCAGAGCCATATGTAAGGAAGCTGGAGATTCAGTATTTATCCTGGAAATGTGCCCGCTGAAACTGTGTTGGCATATTATTGTGGAAGAAGGGGAGAAACAGATGTTGAAGAGCAGGTTACGCTTTCTGTCACAATCCATGTGAATGCCTTTCTTTTTTCAAAGGCTTTAATTTCTCAGTGGCCACCCTCCTGAGAGAAGCTCTGTGCTCATTTAATTACACTCCCAGGGATGGAGGAAGCACTGTGTGTGCCTCTGAGATACTTCTCACGCCTGGCTGTTTAATGGTGCCCCGGGAAGGAGACAAGGAAAGTGTCTGGTACAATATTAAGAGAAGTGGGACTCTTCGTGTTAGCCACAAGAAATAGCTGCACAAATCCAATCTCCCTGGTGCTGTTAGCAGTCAGACACAGAAGGGCATGTAACCGGAGAGAGCATGCCTCGGAGACAGCATCAGCAGAAGAGCTAGAGCTCCTGCGATCCCAAAAGAATTATGTTCTGCAGAAGCGTGTGCCTCCTGGTTTTTATAGGGACTGTAAAACCGCCGCAAAATGACTAGAACTGCTTTAGGAGCACAATATAGGAAGTAAAATGCAGATGAGAAAACTAATTCTCAACAGGATGTACCTCTTAAAGAGGCCCAGTCAAAACAGAAATCTTGAGAGATTTATCCAAGTCACAAAAATAACCCTGGAGATGAAATTATAGTCATAACTCTTCAGGTTTAGAATATGTCACTTGTAAGTCTGCCCTGGTGTCAGCTCCATCTGGGCACCCGAAAGAGCAGTTTCCATGCATACCCTGTCAGGCCTGCGGGAGGATCCGGTCACAGTAGTAATAGGAAAAATCATTTCCTTGGACTGATCAGTTTCTATTAAATGTAAAATATTATCCTAGGCAGCTAATTGAATTTATCTCAAAACTCTGTGGATTCCCTAAGAGAGCAGATGGTACCTCCTTTAGCTCCATGATGCTCAAGTGACAGTAATAAACTCAGCTCACTTCTATGTGTGACTCCAAAGCATAGGTTTAATTCTACAAGTGCAATGAAATCAATAATCGGGCTGAACCCCTATTTTGTCTGCATTACATTTTATCTTCATTAAGTCAGTTACACTCACTGAAAATGTAACTCTCCTGGCTCTTCAATTTGTGTGTGTGTGTGTGTGTGTGTGTGTGTGTGTGTGTGTGTTTTACCACTGACACCAAACCTAAAAGAAAAGCAATTTTCCCTGCAGCTATTTTTCAGCATATCAACACCTCAGACTAATCTGCATGTTTTAGGGCAGCCAGCTTGTTCCAGGGCATTTTTCTCTTCACCATCCTAAAATGATGCTCCCTTATCCTGACTCTAGCCATACAGCCATCCAGGTAGAAGCAGAACACAACTTGGTAACCTGAAACTGAGAGAACTTCAAACCCCTACGTGTATCCGATCCGCTGGTCTAGCAATAGTGTGTGTGGCCTCTGGTTCCTCGAAGAGGGTCTGTTTATTTAGGGTTTGGCAAAAGTAGGTTTATAGTTGTGAGTACGTGAAACACAGTTTGTTCTTGCATTATGATGTGTTATTTGTGGTATTATTTCCCATATAAAAAACTGTGTTTACTGTGCACTAAAAAGGGGTCCCACCCCATGTCCAGTACTTTACGTGCACTAAACCAGTCTGCCCTTCCTGCAACCTGTGAAATGGAACTGAGAGAGCAGTTTGCCCACAGTTCTAATGGCCGAAGTGGCATAGCCTGTGCTTTAACCACAGTTGACTGTGCTGACCCCGTGCACCATTCAGCCTCCATGATCCCAGTCTGTCACTTGTTTCCCATTGCAGCTCAGCAGGCAGAGGAAATGCTATGAAAAGCCCCAGAAGCATGGAAACCCAACCATTAGTTATGATCACAGGGATGATCACAGGGAATAAAACAAAAGAGCAATGTAGCCAACAGGTTTCTTAACTCCTAGAAGCGGGGTCAGGCCTCACCAGCAAGAACATCCAGGACCGGCCATGCGGGGTGTCAGGGCTGCTGTGCATTGGGAGTCATGCTTTCTCAGCATCCATCTTAATTTGGGCTGGAGAATCTCACAATTGCAGGGACCTTCGGGAGCATTCAGCCCCGAGATCGCCAACGAGCTTTGTTAATGGGCTCGGTTCACCCTGATGACATGAACTGGTTCGCTGTCACCCAGACTTCAAACGTGAAACCCAAGTGTCTGCGGAATGAAGGCTCACACTTTGCAGTCTGCCCAGAATGGCACCGCTTCCTTCTGATGAGAGCTGGCCTGGCCGGCTCACACCCCTGCTGACCTGCCTTGCCTGTCAATGGCAGCTGTTCATGGGGAGGTCCTTGATCCCGGTTAGTCTGAAAGAGGCCAGCCCTTTCCAGGAATGGCTTTTCTTTTGCCAGAAGTCTTAGAATCCTCAAAAGGGGAACGGAAGTGTCCGTGACAACCACTCCCCAGAGGAGAGGCTGGGGGTGTGGTGTCCGCTCGGGGAAGGATTTGGTGGCACTTCAGAAGCCATCCTGTCCCAGGAAGCAGCGGGATGTTCCTTCTCTCCAAAGCCTGGTTTTGTACAGTACCTCAGGTTCCAGGGGAGAAGCCGGGCCCCACCAGCAAAAGTTATTTTCTCAAGGTCACATGGGCCCTGAGCCCAGGCCCCTTACCTCCCAACTAAAAGGATTTGTCTGGGAGAGCTTACCAGTGTAATTTCATTTTTATGTGGAAAATAAGATTTACATAGTTTTCATCAATCGTCTAGTGATAATGTCAGTGAATATCCTGCTCCGAAGCAATCGGCATGTTCTTACATTTACCGCAGCAGGGAGCCAGGTAATGGTTTTGCTGTGAATGCTGGAGCATCTGTTCTCCGCAGGCATGTGCAGCAGTGAGTCCGCATCTCCATCCCAGTGCAGGCGGAGCGGTCCACATGCTCATGGTCCAGGGCAGTCATGACTTGGGATCATTAAGGTGCACAGAGGCCTTTGGGATCAGCGTGTCCCGTTGCTCAGTTTATTTTGCCCTCACACTCAGCTGTCATTCCTCACTCTTGGTGGCTGGTGACATACAAGTTGCAAGGAAAGCAGGCCTGGCTGCTCTCTTGAACCCAAGACCATTATACTTTCTTACATGAGACTAAATCAAGCCAAATCTTTGGCATTATTTCCTACTGGTATATTGTGTCTCCTTTTTGATTTCAGAAGACACAACCCTCTAGCTTCAATAGGGTCCTCTTGAGGCCTGAGACACACGTCATGGGAAAAGCAGGGCTGCAGGAGAGGACGGGTGGTCTCGGGCCTGCTGTGACCATGCCCCAAGGTAACAGTGTCTACCAGAGGAATCACTGAATGATAAGTTGTTCCCTTAGAAGGGTAGTTGTTTCCCCATCTCCCTTCCTTTCCCCCCTCCCCGCTGAAACGGGCCATGTGCTCCTTCAAGGTGGTTCGCATTGTGGGCACAGGGGAAGCAGACAGCCAGCTGCCACCCTGCCAGGCCTGCACTGCCGAGGTCAGAGAGATTATTGTTTTTCTTTCTCTCTTTCCATCGCTCGGTCTGGCTCTGTCTGTAAGTGTGCACGTGAGCACACGTGCAGGGTTTGGATTAGTTTCCTGCGATGACAGCTGTCTGGCCTAAGTTGCTGTCTCTGGCTTAACTGAGGAGAACAAAACTATTTAAAAGAATGGCACAGGCGATACCTTTATGTCTGGGAGTTTTCAGCGCAGCTCACTGGTGTGTCTCAGTGGCTGAAAGACCAGGTTCACATCCCAGAAGCCCCCACATCCCCTCAGCCCTGCACTGGTCTGGATGAGCCCAGGGACGGCAGTTCTCCAGGTCGATAAATTGTGTTCCTGCTAATGGACTCCCACCACCCTCACCGCAGTGATGGGCACTCGTACAAAACCTCTCTGTAGAGTGTATTGATTTCTTTATTTCCTCCTTCTCACTTTTATTTTATTTTTTTTACCCATCTGAAGGCTCTTCCTAGTTATTCTCAGCTTTGCTGCTGGAAATTGCTGATGGTATTCCTTGCAGGTCTGCTTTCTTCTTGCAAATGCACATTTTGTAAGCTGCTGTCCCCACAGCTTTCTCCTGCGAGTGAGAAGGAGTGTGTTTCCCACCTAACTGGTGCTATAAATATTTATTTACCTCCCAGTCAAGTTTTATTAATTACTTAATTAGCAGTAGTAAAAACAATTAGGGTTTGGAAGCAGGATGTGTTATATACATGCTAAGAACAAGCATTAGCACTAATGAGACAGAGAGGCTGAATTTTAAATAAAGAAAATAAATTTCTCCTTTTAATTCGAATCATGCCTAGGCCCCCAAAACGGCCTCTGCCAAGTGGCAGGTGTGTTCAGGCGCATGTGTACACACACATAGCCCTGCCCCTGCCTTGGATGGATACCTTCCTAGACCTGGCACCCAGGTGCCTCATCCGAACATGACCTTTCTGTGCTCTGCTCTGCCTCTGTAGGCAGCCATCAGTTGCCAGCATCCTGTGCATAAGCTTCACCCATTTACTGAAAAGGGGAGGAGAGTGGAAGCTGCGCAGTGAGCCACACCTGCGCCTGTTCCTTTGGCCCCTGTAAGGATGAACAGCATGGAGGTGGTGATGGCTCCTCAGGCAAAGACCAGAAGGTGGATCTCTCCACCTTCACACTTAGGTTGGCACAAGGATGTGGGACAGGCCCACTCACGCCTGTGACTCCTGCTTAGACCTCGGGAGTCAGAGCCATTGGCCAGAGCTTTCTGCTGCTTACGGAGCCTTAGGTGAAGCCTGGAGCTGCCCCGCGTCGGAATACGGAGATGGACAAGCTAAAAGAGTTGAGAAAATTTAACTCTATTGATCACATCATCTCTAGAGAATAGGATTTGTCCTCATCATTTCCTTTAATAAAATAATCACAGAAGTTCATTAAGCTCAGACTACCTATGCTGTGCTAGGGAAGAGATAAGAGTGTAAAAACAATACGCTTGCCCTGGTGTTTGACTCTCTTCTGACACTTGCCTTTTGAGCAATGTGCCATCTAATTGACAAGTTTAGAGCATGAAAGATAAAATCAGTTCAAAGTAGCATCGCTCAATCTCATGTCAGGGACAGGGAGTGTTCACAGGAGCTCCAAAGAAAGCTGTCTTTGAGGGCCCAGGTAAGAGTGTCAGAGGGGAGCCAGCTAGAAATGAACTGGATGGCACTCAGAGCCAGACTTGGCCCGAGAAAGAGGCAGGTGAGAGGGGAATGTGGTTGTGGCAGAGGGAAGGCTTTGGAGAACCATAGATAGACCCATATTCTGTGCATGGTAAGAACAGAAACCTTTTTTTTTTTTTTTTTTTTTTAAATCATGAAATAGTGAAAGTGAAAGGTCAAAAATGTAGAAAGGAGCCAGTGTTTGAAGAACCCTGGATTGGGGAGTTATTCTAGTCTCTCTTGAGCCCCATCAAAGAGTGCAGACACCTAAGTACTGTTAGTGTTTGTATGGTAAGTCCATCTGGAAGGCAGATCCCTTGTGGGCTTCAGAGAACCCCGAGGTTCCTGTGCCGGCTCCCTTCCTGACAGCAGGAAAGGTTGCCTTTCCGGGGACTGCTCCCAGGATGACAACGTGTAGTTTCTCTCCTTCCCCAGCTCCAGCACCAAAACACCCAGATTTAGAAATCCTCTAGTTCAGAGACTGGGCAAGTTTCCTGTGGCCTTTTCAAGCCCTCTCTGCATCCTTGCTTCACCCACACACTAAATGCATCACCGACTCTATTAGCCGCAGCGCTGAGAATTTCAGCTCTTTCACAAACGGAGGGGAAAGGCTCCATCAAAAGTGAAAGATTTTTTAGTTCATCAAATCCCCATTCACTGCAAAAACATTATTGTCCTTGTGGTTGGTGCTTTATGATTGCCTTTATGGAGACAATGAAAAGGCAAACTATACAGGTGGAAACTTAAATTGACTTTATATCGCTGAGGTTTACCATCTTCAAAAATAGCATGCTAGATTAATGCATTTCTGATTTCAAGGTGCTTTTATTTAAAAAAAAACAACAAAAAACGGTCTTCTCTGCACACAGTAATTCTATCAGACAATGGGCTGTGGAAGAAAACACTGTGTGATTTATTTCTGGGTGCTTTGAAGAACAAAAAGATTATTTTTTACTAATGTGTCTGAAATACCAGATAAAATGTGGTTCCAATATGCTAAGGTATGTTTCAGTTATAGACTTTTTCCCCTTTCCATATGTTTGTTGTAGGATCTAAGGGAGGAATGCGTGAAGTTGAAAACAAGAGTGTTCGATCTGGAACAACAGAACCGCACATTAAGCATACTGTTCCAGCAGCGGCTCAGGCCAGCCTCCGACCTCCTCCTCCAGGTACGTGTTTTTGTGGAAAACAATCTTTGCTACTGAAATACTATTGACAAGAGGTAACTTATGTTCAAAAGTTAATGCTGTCTCCATGGGAAAACCATATTATGTCATTAAAATGAAATGTCTTTCAAATTTCTGACTTTTTAAAGCTACATTTAAAGAAATGCATCAACAAATAATAAATGGTGAAAGGAACAATCAGAAGGAGTCCTCTAGGAAATTTAACAAAATCATGGAATGGAGTCAGGGAATAATTGACTACTTGGGGGACTGGTATTCGTATTCTTGTATTTCATAATAAGCAAGGAACAGTCTTAAGTAATACCTGGGTTTTTTTTGTTTTTTTTTTCTCTCTCTCTCTCTCATTCCTCCACATAATACAATACTCCCTATATTCCACTTCAGCATTTCACAGGTTCTCTTTGTTTAAATGCTCTCAGCAAACTGTTCCGTTACTTATTTTGATAGCATGTAAAGTCATACGGAGTCAAACTGTTATTATTATCCAAGGAGAGCTCTTCCTGTTTTCACCTGTGGCTGGTGGGAGTGGGCTTCTTGCAGTGTCACAGGAAAAAAGAATTTATGAGACTCATGGGCAAGGGTGAGATATTGTAAAGAGCCTCATTTCTATGGGATTAAACCCCCGAGTTTCCCAGTTTCCATTTCCCTTCACCTGCCAAAGAGTAAGCCCAGCTGTGCCTTTAGCAGAGGCAGGATTAAAGCTGTTGCCCACAGTTCCCATTCCATTTTGGAGAACAATCCAAGCCAGCATCAGGCTAGCTTAGATTGTGTTTCCAGCTGCAGTCCATCAGTTCATGGGCTGTGTGACTCCCAGAACAGGCAAATACAAGAGAGCAACAAGAGCCAAGAGAGTGAGCTGCTGCCAGGGCCAGCCTGACAGGTGAACCATATGGAGGTAGGGAGGTGGGAATTGAGAAAAAAAGAAAGACAGGAAAGTGGGATCAGGAGGACTGCAAGCCATCGATAGACTGCAGCAACTTTATTAACTGCATAATGCCTTTTATACACAAGCACTAAATGGGAGGTCAGTGAAGAGGAATGTATTCTCCATTCCTCCCAATCTTGGAGATAAAGCAGGAAGCCAAATTCTCGGGTAAATATATACAGACTTCTATAAGCTATGAAAAGTCACTCTCATTCTGCTGAAAAGTGCCATCAAAACAAGCCAGCGCACACTTTGTGGGCAGGGGGCTGAATCTTATCAGTCCCTTCAGGTGCAAGGACTCTGTCAGCTTACACCTGGTCTCCAACAAGCTCCTTTGGTGGATTATGTAATCTCAAATTTCCACAGGCCCCACCCCTTCATCTGTGGATGCATTCATTTTCCCTTTGTTGGACCTTTCCCCCCAGGGATTTGTAGGAAATGGACCTGTGCTGGCCTGGGGAGTGTGAAATTGCAGCTTCCTATTGAAGCTTCCCACATGGCCATGCGTATAATGTAGGGCCTTTTCCAATCCCAGCACCAAAATGCCCCCAGGGATTTAGAAATCCTCCAGTTCCAGAGGCTGGGAAATTTCCAGTGGCCTTTTCAAGCCCTCACTTCATTCTGTTTCACCCACACTAAATGCATCACTGATTTTTCTGTTTCACCCACACTAAATGCATCACTTTCCTATGCTATGGTATATAATGAAAGCCAAATATATAAATCGACTGAACAGTGGAATGACTGGTTGGCTGGGGGCAGGGCCAGCAAGTGGGTGGCGCCAGGCCAGCAAAGAAGGTGCCAACAGACAGAGGAAGGGGACTGCAATCAGGGACCAGTGGTGACCAGCAGCAGTGGAGGAGAAATGAGGGGGTGGGGCCAGCTGCTCACTGGCCTGTGCATCCCCCAATTGGCCTGCAGATAGCTTCCCACAGAGAGAGGCCAGGCTGTGGCTTAGGTCTGCTCCCTAGACATCTCCCAAGGGCTCCTGGTCTGCAAGAGGGTGCAGGCTGGGCTGAGGCGCCCCTTTCCACACAGTGCATGAATGTTCATACACTGGGCCCTCTAATTATTAATAACTAGCTAATTACAAAGGTATCAAAACTATCAGCTGATTTTGACAAATGTCTCAAGAATATATTAGACTTCAGGAAGACACATGAATTAGCAAAGAGGCCTGATCTTTGCTGTTTGCTCTTTTTTAAACCTATTTTTTAATAGGGCTAATTTGTTCAAACAAGTTCATAAGCCTTGTTCAGAGCATTCTAAGTCATGGCTAAGTATACATTAATTTACAAAGAATAACCCTCAGCTGCCTGGTCTAATTGGCTGAGAGAAAGAATAAAGACAGGGGTATCCTCTAAACTACCCTGTCCAGCACTATAGACACTATTGAAATTGAAATTTAACTAAAATGAAATTCCTATGTCAAACTAGCCATATTTCAAGTGTTGAAAAGCCACATTTGATCAGTGGCTACCATATTTGGCAGTGTATTTATAAGACATTTCCATCATCTTAGAAAATTCTACAGGACAGCACTTTTTTTCAGATGATTGAGCCAGTGTTGCTAATTTATCCTCTTAACTTTGGCATAAACATCTTTCCTGGACTCCTCAAGGAAATGATCAAGAAATTGCAGTTCATTTCAGAGAAAGAAAGATGTTCAGTAAAGCTGAGCATCAAATGTAATTTCCACCCCCCAAGTTAAAATAAAACACTCTGAATTGTAAAATAGATTTCATCTCTTAAATCAATTTCCTCTCTTCTTTATCTGTTAGAGCATAATTCATAATTTATGACTCAAAATTGTGTGAAAAAAAATCATTATCTTTTTGGTTTCCTAGTCGGACTATAATAAATGTTGGTCATAGAGAATCTTGCTTCTGTAAAAACTTGTATTTCTTTTTCTCTCTCATAATCAAGATCCTATATTATAATTATTTTTAACAGCTGTTGCATGTTCATGAATTTTTCTGCTTTTCCTGTTTTAACTTGAAGCTTTTCTGGAACAATGATTTTTGTACTCCCTGTTTCTGAGTCATGATGTTTTGTTTCAACAGTCAAGATGAGTGCTCTAGGTATTTAAGCTTTTTCACTGGCCAACACAAATTTCTTAAATTCATATCCAAATGGCAGGGGAAGGTGTGCATGCTCACAGTAGGACTCAGTGTTTATTCATTGGGTGTTCTCAGCCCACACACTCCATATTCCTCCCCAAGAAATCCTCACTTCCAGGAGCCATTCTCATGTAAAGGATGGAGGTTAATAGTTCTGTGAGGAAGAATGATAGACAGTGTGGTGCCTGCCCTCTCATATCATAGAGCCCACAGTCATAGACAACATTGCTGGATTTTTGGATGGTCTGCTCAGTTTTGACTCATGATTCTTTATTTTCTGGTGGCACAAATACATATGGAGAACTGGCTAAGGGAAAAGCAGCCAGAGCTTGCTTTGTGCCTATGAAAGCTCTGTCATTACATATATATATATATATATATATATATATATATATATATATATATATATAATTGATTTTTTACAGAGATGAAGGGAGAGGGATAGAGAGTTAGAAACGTCGATGAGAGAGAAACACTGACCAGCTGCCCCCTGCACACCCCCCACTGGGGATGTGCCCACAACCAAGGTACATGCCCTTGACCAGAATCGAACCTGGACCCTTCAGTCCCCAGGCTGACACTCTATCCACTGAGCCAAACCAGTTTTGGCTGTCATTACCTTTTTAATGGAATTATGAATGACACAAATTTATTCTACAAGTTGGGGAGCTATTTTGTATACCCCAAAGAGAATGTGATGCCTCCATCTCTCCTTCTGTATTTTCCTGCTTAATGTGGATGCTTCAGAATTGTGCTGCATGCAGACCAGCCCACTCTGCCTGAGGGTATGGCTGGTGGATGCGGCAAATTCGCCACTGTGCCTGGTCCCAAATATTATAGACCATGTCACTTCTGTCCACAGACCAAAAAGGCTTCTAAGTCATTTTCTGCAAATGTTAGACAACTGCATTAGTGGTCACCTGCTATGTACAACCTAATGGTCCTCCATAATCCGACGTAGCCACCTACAGAGAAACATAGAAGATGGTGAACAACCATTGTGAGTTTAGTAGATACATTGTAAATGGTGAAGAAGAAAATAATTTATAAGAAGCAACATATTTTTGTCCCTAAAAATATGGAAAAAGCGACTGCATGGATATTATTAGGCAACCCTTGTAGGAAGAATAAAAAGGGATAGTTCTAAAGATTAGCTGACAGATTCTGCGAAACTTTGAAAGGGAACCAACCAGGTCCATGAGAGAAAACAAAAAGAGCCTAACCTAAAAATTAAAATCCTTAGAATGGCAATAAGCTTCTCTGTTGATTTCAATTTTCAGAATGATATCTCTGGGACTGTGTGTAGTAACAAATCCGATTAAGAGGGCCCTTTATATGGAAATCAAAAATTTAAGCTAAATTCTAAAGAATAGAGAAGCCAGAATCACAAAGGAAATCTAAAAGTAATATCTTAAAGAACTTGAGTCTCTCACTACATTTATTTGAACTTACTGGCCAGATGAACCAATACTCACCACTTCCTCTTATCTATACTAATATGACTATGTTAATTAGACTGGGAGACCTTCCAGGAGACCTTTTGGACATTGTTCTGGACAAAGCCATGATGGCCAGTCTGAGGTAGAGGTGATGAGGGGCGAAGAGGGGAGGGCAGGGGAGGGCAGTTGTGGATGACCAGGCCAGTAAGGGGCACTGTTGGGAGTGATCAGGCTAGTGGGGGGGGGGTAGTTGGGGTGAGCTGGCCGGCAGGGAGGCAATTGGAGGTGAGCAGGCTGGCAGGGGGAGGGGATTGGCGGTGAGTAGGCCTGCATCGGGGGGAGAGGGCAGTAGAGGGCAGGGCAGTTGGATGCAAGCAGGCCAGCATGCAGAGTGGTTAGGGGCAATTAGGCAGGCAGACAGGTGAGCCTTTAGGAGCAGCAATCCCAGATTATGAGAGAGATGTCCCAGATTGGAGATGGTACAAGCCAGGCTGAGGG